ACCGAGAGGTTGATGGAGGGAGGACGTGTAATGGGAGCACGGTGTCGAGTGCTACTGTCGTTTGTCCCTGTTATCCTGCACATCCAGCGCTCGTTAGCCACGCCGAATAAAGAACCGATATGGAGATGAATTTTCTTAAATACGAGGCTTTTTCGTGGGTATATGGCGAGCTGAAAATGACAGTAGCGTTAGGCAAGATTTTAAACAACTTTTAACAACTTTGAATTTATTTTTATCGAAGTAACTAGAAACTGGCTGTCACCGGTATAATTTTCAGCCCATCATACGGTTCAGTTGCTCTGAACGAAGTACGATAGGATTAGGTTTTGTGGGTTTTGGCACGTTACCTGTTAATGAAGCAGCTTAAACTGATATTACCGAGGTAATCGTAACTAAAATTTGTTTATTAACGAAATCTACAATACCGATACAAATTACACCTAAACGCATTCCTACCTTCGCGTATAATAAATCTCCAACCAGTCCATTACATAATACAGCATAAACCATCCAACCACGAAATATTTAATCCACAAACAGCCAACATTCCGCACCTATCCACGCTATTCAAACACATACATGTTGCAAACAGCTTCCAATACTAACCTTCTCAACTCTCGCCGAGTCATAACTCGCGTAATCCTGCTACGCATCCGAAAACCCAACCATCTCCGCAGCGTAAAGCCGGAAGCTACGGCGAAACGCGAATTAGAAAATCCAATCTATAGAAAACGCGGCACGAAATTGCGGGAACGAAGAGTACGAAACGTGACGGTGGGGGAGAAGAGCGGAAAGCTCGCGAAAAGGAGAATGGGAGAGCTCGAAGGGAGAGAAGAGGGCATAACACAATTACATGTGGGGCTGATGCGGGGCCGAGCTTGCTCTCGGCGCCACGACCTTCCGGCTAAAGGAAGGGAACGAAGGAAAGAGCCCAACGGTGGGTGGCAAGATTGAATATGAAAGTTTAATGCGAGCAATATCAGCGCCGCTGCCCCGGCCCTCGGCTACTCGTTCTATCAGACGTCTCGACTATCGGGCCTGCCCATCTTGCCCGTATCTCTCTTTATATCGCGGCCACGATGCCTTCTTCACCGGATTTCCATCTTTGATGTCGCGAGGATTGGTCTCGTTGTCGTGATAAAGAAATGGTAGATGAACGTTTGGGAGAGAGCGAGAGTAGGCATTGAGGTGTTGTAAAATCGTCGACGAATGAACGAATTTTTAATTCTCTGATAGTTGTAAGCATTCTTAATTCTAAGCGGTGCTTAGTGTTATCAATGGATAGCGAATAGATGAGTTGGTAGAAACGGCATTTCGTTTAGGATTTGTCACTTTGCTTCACTTTTTTCGAATGAATTTCCTATGAATGTTTGCACGTTCTGAAATATAGAATTGAGTTGTTAACCCCTTTTTCATCTCATATGTTGTTAAAAAGGGTATCAAACACTTTATTCTTCTTGGTGAATAGCTACCATAAACTCTTAAAGAGACCCTTTTCTTCCTTAATACACTGTATAATACCCCAGTATCTATAAAGCCTTTCTCTTCCCTTCAAACAAACTTAAATCCCGCAAAATCTATACGCGCAATTTATTTACAGTCCTCGAAAGTCTCGTTCTCTTCGTTTCCCTTTCGCTTATCGACGAGCCAGCGGCGGGAAGAAGGAGCAATTAGGTGGACAGGGAAACGGAATGGAATGCTGATTACCGTTTATACCGGGAAAGATTATCAATTAAAAACTAACTTTCACGGGATATATTTTGCTTGCGGATGGAATTCACGGTTTCACTAAGGCGTTTAGTGACTATGCCATCGGCTATTTGTAAAACTTTCCTCATTAATTACCGACAAGATTCAATCCCCTCATCTCTTCTATACTAAACTCTTCCCGCTATAGCTTCCTGAGACGCCCATCTTTTCCCACTGTCTTGATACCCTTTTGTCCTTCGCCGCGGAAGGAAGTTTAATAGTATATTAGATCGCGCGTTCCTTCAACGAGCAATTATTCGCCAATTAACGAGACGAATATCGTATCCATGTCGTACTTCGGTCGAGTCAACAGGCGGTGACCGAGCATCGGTTAAACTTTGTTGCAGCGTTTAACCACAGTAGAATGCGAAATACAACTTTATTTCAGATGCTATTAAAATGCGTTTTCCTTCGCTATAAAGATTCACAACGATATGCATATATTGTACGAATAACATCTAAAAAGAGGAACAAGGAACATTGAAAATTAAAGAATATTTTTCTATTTTAAATTGGAACTTTCCAGGAATACTGGACAATTGATTGATACGCCCTGACCACTCGACATACGCCGAGAGGGATGGATTAATTGGCGGAAGTTACGTAGCGTAAAGATTAGCCAGCAGATTAAATGTGGTTAACAACCGAACGAAGAAATTTTTTTTAAAAAGCAAGAAACGTGTGATATTTTCATTATCAAAATTTACGAACATTAAGCTCTTTCAACTTTATTTCTATGAAAAGAATTACATGAAATATGCCGCCTATTACAGGCCAGATCTCCAACATAATTTCAAATTGTTCTCATTATACCATAGCGAAGGTTAAATGGCGAGCAAAGATAAAAAGAATAGCGGAACAGCGTGATTTTTTTAAGTACTCCAACACGTAGTCTCGTACCTCTTTACACGCTGATAAATAGGTGCGAGGCTATCGAAACACGGGCTCTAACCACCTTCCTAATCCAGCCAACGAGCTACTGTTCTTATCCTCTACACTTCCCTCGATCCACCGTAACTTTTTCCACAACCATCCTGTTTTTCGAACGGTTGCGCACTTTACAGCCAGGATTAGCTAACCTGAAATATCTGGGCTACTTTATAGTGTCGCAATCCCAGTTCATGATTCCCTGCAAAATCCTGTTATTTTACATAAGTTCTTTACTGTCCGGATTATAGTGCAATTTGGTGGTATCGCAACATTTAGAAAACCGATACTATACTCTTATCTTTGGATTTTTTTCCAGTGCAGATATCGTACAAAGCTCTAGCATTTCATCGCTAAACTGCGGATTTCTCTGGATAATTTAAACATGCTAAAATCCATAAGATCTACGCGATGTTCAAAAGTATTTAATCGTTTACAAAATAACTTGTTGCGAAAACTAGTCAAGTGCTGAAAAATGCTACAACTAAGGTTAAATCACGTTCTCCAAAAATTCCTACGTAAGGCTGCTGACGAATGAGGAGATAGCATTAAAATTTGTTCCGGATTAAACCAAAATCACGCCTGTTGAGCCGTGTAACATAAATGATAGGTACACTTACAGCGAAGCATCGTTGAATCAGCCGCGGCGTTGAATCGAGCCACGCGTACTGTCATTTTCGCGTCACGGACCGTCAAGCATCGTCGACAAGAATATTTCGACGTGATGAACCGTTGCCGCTGTGATGTGCGCCGATTGTCACAGCCAATCGGTAGCGCACAGGATGCCTGCGCGTAAACAGGATACGACGGTATGTGACGGGTGTCGTACGAGCTACGAGTGGCGATTCCACTGAAAATTGAAATGATACGTAGTAACTGCTATCGAAGGTGATGCGTGATTTATTTTTCCTACATTTTTTGCATTTACGAACGGAACAAAAGCGAGTTAAAATGAATTTGCACGGTGATGGCGAATGCGAATGGACAAAATATTCTACCTCCAACAAATTAACTCGCTACGATGTCAGTAGAAAGTACTATTTTTACTTTTACGTTATTACGATTTAAAAAGTGGGATTGTTCTCGCAACGTGCAACTTAAGTAAACGCGGACTCCAAGCAACGACACGGGTCGAAGTGCCCGTTGCAAGTTGCCTATGGAAATTAATTACAAAAGAAAGTTTAACAAGGACAGGAGCAAATTGAAGCTTGCCAAGAAAGGTGGCATTAAAATGAAATGACGGAGATATCGCGAGAGCACGCTGTTCTCGACATAGCTGTGCAGCGTATGCCGTGTATAACCGGATACGTCAAATCGCGTTGATGACTATACCCGTCATTAACTTGACAGAGGTACACTACCGTTCATAAGTCAGTAGGACGTTGTTATATTTAAGTTAGATTATAAAGGAACATTGGAATTATAGAATAAATTTACGTATAATTTTTCTATTATTCTAAGCTTTCAATTAACTTGACATAGTCTTAGGATAATTATCAATTTATCAGTTATATTTCTCTATCTCTGTTATAAAGGTTTTTTAAATAAAAATAAAAACTTAGTAAAAAGAAATTCAAGAAATGAAATTTTGTTTGCCTATGGAGGATTATTATAAATCTGTTTTAATAAACGTTAGGTTTGTAATTAATAAGTGATATGATGAATTATGAACGGTAGTGTATTCGTTCTTAAACGCGATGAAATCACTAGTCACCGATCCGTCGTCCGACAACCAGGTTTACATCCCATTTCGATCTTGAACAATCATATTTGCATAGTGAGCGACACGTCGGACACTCGTTCGGTTCGATGGACAAGCCGATGACAATGAGGCCACGTTTAAGAGCAGACGCGTTGGGATAGGCTTGACGTGGTCCGCTGAGGATACGGGCGACCCTTTGTCGATGAGTTAATGGATTACAATGAGAAAGGGAATTGGAGAGAGATCCGAAACCTTGTTTTCGTGAGATGAAAATTAATGATCTTTAAACGTCCGCAAAATATTCTCATCCCATTGTACGCAATTTTATATAGATGACAAAACGAGGAATACTTATATTTTGGTAATTTGAAAATATTTGGAAAATTATATTTAGTGTTGGAATTATTATAAAAAAGAAATACAACTTTACTACATCTTTTATACTACATCTACTACAAATTTTAAATACTATGTCTGTTTGGAAACTTGGAATTGATAACGATATTTAATTTACGCACATCGTCTCTCGAGGAAAACGATCAAACCATAAAATTCCGCCAATCCCAATTATCTATCATTGGCAATCTCAAGCACTAAAATCATGCAAAATTTATGATTGCAGGCGTTGGTGACCGATCGTATCGTACAGGATCCGACACAGAGGGCGCCGCTACTACCGATAATCCGACAACACCATTCCCAACGCCGCCTCCAACCTTGACGCCGAATCATCGACAGGCATCTCCGTTTCCCCTGGAGAGCACCAACTCTCGCCGGCATCATTACAATGGGAGCATATCATCGGAGAGATCCCGCAATGGCAACGGTACGGAGTTAATTAGAGCCGCGAGCGAGTTACGTTTGCTCGTATACACTTGCAACGAAGATGATACTTACAAATGCCACGAGACGAGTCTCGCTAACGTTATGTTGCGAGTCAACCCGGTCGACTTGATTAATGCAACAGAAACGCTCGCTACGCGATTCGGAATAACATTCACGATATCTCGTCTCTGGCTCTTGCAAATATTAACTTGCTGTTGCATCGATTGTCGGTTAATGTAGTCGGAAAGTTAAAGTAGAATACCAGGATTCTTTCAGAAAAATATGGAGAGTCGGTAGAAGCGTACTTGAATGTCTGAGAAACTTTTAATTTTGGGAGAAACGAAACCGAGTGTTGAAATAAGGAAAATTCGTTTAAACAGTACTCACGTGAAAGTTCTTATTTTATTATTTGTCTCGATGGTTTTTATTTCGTCTTAGTTTTTAAATTTGAATCTTCTTCGTCAACCTGTACTCTTTCTTCTTTTACAAAGGCACTTGGTTATAAAAGTACTTGAAGAATGAAAAAGTACGATATCAAGTATCCGTCTAAAAATTAACCAGACGTTTAAAAGATATCATTTCTGTTTATCCTTTTCCATTTCATTCCACGACGAATTCCCAGAGTAAATGTACAGTAGCTGAAAAATGTATCCTTATTCTCCGATAGCATATAGCATCTTTAAATTCTATTCGCTTTAACTGTCGCAAGACTCTACGAAAAGATATTCTAATGTACCCAAAGATATTCCAACGATTCTGATACACCGTAGGTGAAACGGTTTATGCGGCGCCATCGAAAAAGACGAGCACCGGTGGCGGGACCTTGGGGCGACGAACGCGACGAGGTCACACGAGTGCTTTGAGTAGCAGCTCCACGGCCAGCGATCGTTCCGAAACTGTCTTCCCAGACGAGCATTCTCGCATGCATCTCACCAATGGTAAGTTCACTTTCACATCATCTCAGCATCACCATTTCTCGCGCCATTCTCATTGCCTGTCATTGTATCATGCATTATTCGTTGTATTATTTGCCCATTGCATGTAGTCATTCCATTTGCCGCCAAATTCTCGTACTCATCCTCGCGCGCGAACTAAAGTAACGCCGTCGGAAGACGTACAGGTTCGTATTTTGAGATTTACGAAATTATCAAGCCTGCACGATTGCATATTGACAGTGAAAATTCTATAGCAATGACGTATAAGCATTCGATATATATATATATATATAATTATATATTGAAAATGACGAGATTAGAAAATACGTGTAATTGCGGACTGAAAAGAAATTAGAAAATTAGAAAGATTGTACATCGGTGGCAAGAATATTGGAGAATGAGGAATAGTGTACATAGGAATATCGATACCATGATAGATATCACGAACATGGGAATGCAGATCCGAGTATAAAGCTCCACTTCTGGCGAGAGATATAAAGCCACTTCCGGAGAGCAGGAAACACGGTCACGTGGCACTTTGAGGCCGCATTGGTCATTGGTAAGTGACTCAGTGATATATGTCAGAAGGAGAAAATAAATTAGCTAAGCATTTACACTGACTCACTCTTACTCGATGAAAATAAGATAGCGCTTGCGCGATCACAACCAATTATCAATGCAGTCTCAAAATACCACGTTCCCCGCTCATCGGAAACGACTTCACTTCGCTCAGGTATTACTCATAACATATATTGGATCGCTCGGAAAGTTCGTTCCAATTTTTAAGGGATTTGGTCGATGTAAAAAGACATATTAAACAGTTTTTTGGCGAAAAACCTGAGAGGTTCTGAAAGGATGGGATATTCAATTTGCGTGAAAGATGGAGAAAGATCGTGGAACAAAATAGCACTTATATAACTCAATAAATGTACATCGAATCGAAATATAAATCGAAACTAGCTTTCCGAACGATCCAATACGGAGAATTTTGATACGTCAACTGATGACAGAAAATTAACTACTGAGAGTATCCATATGATCGTCAATGTTTAAATGCACACGTTGTAAAAAACGAGCGTTTTTATATTTGTTTTAATGTCTTTATATTGATCGGTATAATAGGAGCGGGGTAATCATTTGAGAAATCAAAAAAATGTACACGATGGAATTTTCTTGTAGAAAAAGTAAAAGTAAAATACATAGGTATGCATTAACATATATTCTGGAATTCTTTGGAACAGAATAACTTTTTAAAATTGGATCAGACTGGTTTTTTTAGGAGTTAAAAGAATTAATTTGTTAGGTGGAGCGTAAAAATTTTTTTAAAAATATTACAATTGGTTGGAATTGCGGAGAAAAAAGTAAAGGTCATTTTTTATAACCTTTTTTCATCTGAGCCTGTAATAAAAATTTAAACAACAGATTTTGAAGATTTATGACATGCTGAAAATTTCATGAAAACCGGTTGATGCAGAAACAAACGGCAGACATTGAAAGATGTAGATTTATTACAGTTATAGGTCGAATGTTGTGAGAAACTGCGATTTTCAACCTTTTTTTACCCCTTTGTAGCTCACAGTAACGATCTCGATGAAATTTTCATTTTAAATTTTCATTCCACGTATGAGATTAGTAGACATTACTCGTCACGTATCTTACGACAAAGTAAATGCAATGAAACACGAAAGAGATAGGTGTCAACAACATGGAAATTCGAAATTTTATACAAGGAATGCCGATTTCAAAAATCGGGACGAATACATCGGAACGAAACGCAACGAAAGCAAAGAGGTTAGGAAATGCTTACAATCGAATATCAAAAGTAACAAGGTTAGAAAATCCGCGCGCATTTCGAAACATTGGCTAGTTGCGCGCGAATAAATTCATTGATTGCCGCGAGCGCAACCGGTCCCGGAAATCGCAACGTAAAATCTCCCGCGAAGCGATAAGTTAACGATCCGTGCCTCAAATACGATTACCAGACTAACAGGATTACCGGCTGGTATCGAGCCCCTGGCCTGAGTTAAATCGGGTTTCGTGTAAACGTGTTTCTCGTTAAAAGCTTAATATTAATAGTCACCCTGTTCAACCGGAAGGATCTGAGATTTTTATCGGTGCATTGTTGTAATTCGATACAAACCCCGTGTCTTTCATCCATACCGAACAGAGTGACACAAGTGACATGTAAATTGTGATCTGTTGTAAGTGACTTCATTTTTGAGATTTCTGGTGCTAAGCCAAGCTAAGTCGATCATAGATATTTTTAGTAAGTCGTGCCATGTACTCCTTTTATACTTATTTTTTTCTATTCTCTGCGTCGTATTATTATATTCTGTACCTACTCAAAACACGATACGCGATGTTAAAATTCTCCGTAGGAGCAAAGATTAGGAAAACGAGAAATAATATAATGTTTAACAAGGTTGAGTTCATTAAAAAAAAAAAGAAAAAAAAAGTGTCTTATACGTATTAAACTTTTACGTCCTTCTGTAATTTCATTCATAAGTTTCATGTATAATTGCAAGATTCCAAAATGTTTGCTTCAAAAGTCTAACAAAAGTTTCCAAAAACTTAACCCAGGTATCTCAAGCAGATAAGAAAAGTCTTTGTTCTTTCGAAAGGTTAGAAACGAGAGATCGCGATAAACCAGGCGCCAAAGGATCTCCCGCGAGGATCCAATTCCGTCTCGATCTTTAGCGCGGGCCGCGCGGGACAATTACACTCGAATTTCTGGTTTGCTCGGCGCACAGTTCCTGGCGTGGTAATTGCGATGCTTCGCGAAACGGCCGTAGGCAAGGGACTGAGCGGAGGATCTTGAGGCAAAGGCAAATGTTTCAGACGATGCGCCACCGTTACGCTGGCTAACAGCGTCGTAATCGGCAAACTGCCTTATGGGTCGGCTCATTAAATAACCAAGGGACTCTCGGTTTTGAGAGATAAGTTCATTGTTGTCGGATCCTGCGGTGTCGTGGCTCGTCAATGTAACCGGTTACGAAGTTTCCATAAGGGCGACGATGTCCGCCTTACACATTTTCCTTTCGTAGTGTCAACGAGAAAACGACTGGTCCAAGCAAGCAGTCTCAAAGAAGGTTGCATGGAAATTTAAATTTCATCTGTTCGTTAAGTGAAGTTTTGTTTTATTGCTCAATACTGATTCAATTTGTACTCGTTTCCGTGAACGAACGAGCCACTCAGAATTTTAAAAAATGCCGGATTGGATATTCTAACCAAAGAAAGCAGAATTGTTGCGTAGCGAAATAAGGAAGAAAGAATTTTTTAAGGTGCATTCGAAGGTAGCATTTTTTGGTGATTGCATGCATGTTTCATTATCCCGAATAATTCGATTTTCCGAATCACCTCGGTTCCAATTGGTTCGGATAATTACCTGTTTACTATATAATTATTTAAAAAATTTGAACAACACCCAGTACCAAAAGGAAGATTTTCGCTCTTCGAGAAGCGAAACACGAAACGATGGCGAAGAGGGCAGGGGAAGGCGAGGAGCCTGGAAGAGTAACCGAGTTAGCAGTTGCGAGTAGCGAGGCCGGACTAGTTAGAACGTAGGTCAGCGTTAGAAGTTAGCTGAGCGGCTATATTGTTTTGGAATGCCGTGGGTATTTAGGCCTGGGCTGGTCGCGGGTACGTCGTTCAGCAGGTTCCTCGGTGTGCCGCGTAACGCAGTTTTAGCGTTACCACGGAGATGAGAAAGTAGCTTTGCGGCTTCTCGAGTTCCCTGC